GCTCTTGCTCAGGCTGGTCTGGAACTCTTGGCCTCAAGCGATCCTCCCGCCTCGGCCTCCCAGAGTGACAGGATTACCCGGCCCATTAGAGAGTTTGGAGCAGAGGAGGGACAAAACATGTTTACCAAGATCACTCTGCTTTCTGTGTTAAGAAAAGCCTGAAGAGGGACAAGGAAGTGAATTAGGGCACGGTTGCAGTGGCCCTGGTGAGAGACAGAGGTGGCTTGAACCAGAGTAATTGATTCTGGATATTTAGAAGTTAGAGCCACCATTACATTTACTGCCAAGTTAGATGTGCGGTATGACACAGGAGATGAGTTCAGGGGAAGCTGCGAGGATTTTAGCTCGAGTGGAAGGGACGGATGGACTCTAAGTTTGAGATCCTACCACGCGGAGTAGGTGGGTGAAGACATATAAATCTGGAGCTCAAGGTAGAAGTTCAGGCTGGAGATCTGGGTTCGGGAGGCATCAGTGGGTGGGTGGTATTTAAAACCATGGGTTGGGATGGTACCTCCGGGGGGCGAGAGCAGGTAGAGAAAAGGATTGAGAGCCCCTGGGCTTGCAATATGAGGAGATCAAGAGATCAGGAACCAGCCCTAGAGCCTGGGAAGGGGTTCCTGGGGGGATGGTAGGAGACCTGGGGGTGGGGGTGGTGTCCTGGCCCCCCGTGTTTAAGGCAGAGGGGCACGAAGAAAGAGTCTTACATTGTTCGAGGAGCCCTTCCTCTCTCTCTCAGTTATATTTAGGTTATTAAGTGTGAAGTTCTTTCTTTCTTTATTTATTTATTTGAGACAGAATCTCGATTTGTTGCCCAGGCTTGAGTGAGTGCCGTGGCATCAGCCTAGCTCACGGCAACCTCAAACTCCTGGGCTCAAGCGATCTTCCTGCCTCAGCCTCCCGAGTAGCTGGGACTACAGGCATGCGCCACCATGCCCGGCTAATTTTTTCTATATATATTAGTTGGCCAATTAATTTCTTTCTATTTAGAGTAGAGACGGGGGTCTCGCTCTTGCTCAGGCTGGTTTCGAACTCCTGACCTCGAGCGATCCGCCCGCCTCGGCCTCCCAGAGTGCTGGGATGACAGGCGTGAGCCACCGCGCCCGGCCTAAGTATGATGTTCTTAAGTACTAAGTTTGACAGTTGATACCTCTGACATTTCACTTTGACCCTTCTTGTTTTGGGTTTATCGTCAAGGTGCATCCTCAGTCTTCCAAACGCATGTTTTGGCTTGTGATTATCTTGCAAGATGTTTTTAGAGCAATTTTTGTGAAACCATGGATAAGTCAAAAATTGGTGTTATTTTCGAATGTGAGGTCCGTCGAGGAAGCAACGCAGCGCAGACAGCTGGAAATCTCAGCGAAGTGTCGGGGAAGGATGTGGCTAAGGAACGCGCAGTACGTCGATGGTTTGTGGAGTCCCGTTCTGGTGATTTTAATCTTGAAAATGAGCCACGTGGGCGACCTGAGACCCAGGTGGATAGCCATGAGCTGAAAGCTGTCACGGAAGCGAATCCATCTCAGTCTCTGCGTGGATTAGCAGCAAGGTTTGGCGTTTCCATTCCAACAATATTGGACCATCGGAAAGACATGGGCAAGGTAAAGAAGCTGGGTGCCTGGGTTCCACGTGAATTAAACGAGCGTCGGGAGAGAAATCGTCTTAAAGCTTGCCTTTCTTTGCTGTCACGACACGATGGTGCATCATTTCTCCACCATATTGTTAGGTGTGATGGAAAATGGATTCTTTTTTGACAGTCGCAAGCCTTTGACACAATGGCCGGATACAGATGAAGTGCTGACAAAACACAGTCCAAAACCAAACATTCATCAAAACCAGTTAATGGTGTCTGTTTGGTGGCCCTGCGCTTGTGTTAGCCACCACAGCTCCGTGAAACGTGGTGGGTCGGTGACAGCAGGTGTCTGCTGCAACCAGCTGGGCGGAAGGATGAGGATGCTTCCGTTTAGCCGGGATTGGTCCAGAGAAACAAGTCATTCCTCTTGCAAGACAACGCTCGGCCACGTGTCGCACAAACAGCACCGCTCGAGCTACAGCAGCTGGACTTGGAAACTCTCTGTCACCCACCCAATTCACCAGACCTTGCACCAACTCACCACCGCTTCTTCCAGGTTTTGGGCCACTTCTTGCAAGGAAAAATACTCGATTCTCAACAAGCTGTGGGGAACGCCTTTCTGGATGTCGTCACCGCTCGCTCTCCAGGCTCCTTCACCGCTGGCATAAGGAGGCCACCCGTTAAGGTGGCAAAACTGCGTGGCCCGTTGTGACGCGTACTTTTGATTAATCGCGCTGCTTTCTTGTTTGAGATAAACTACGCTTTCGACTCGAGACCGGACATTTCCTATTTGATGACCTAAATGCTTTGAGACTGTGAAACCCACATGATGCAATTCCACCGTGTCGTCGAGCTCGAAACCGCATCACCCCAGCAGCGTGTGGGAGCCCAGAATCAGCGGTTGGAATCAGACATGCGCAGCGTGGATTTCCTGAGCTCTGCTCTCGGCCAGCCTGGGCACAGCCAGCCAGCCAGCCAGCCAGGCCGGGAAGGGCTCCTCTGAGACACAACATGGCGCAGGGGCCCAGCCAGAGAGGCCTGGGTGTGCATCGAGGTGCCGTAAGCCTCAACTTCCCCATCTGTAAAATGGAGCTCTAATCTCAGCCTCTACCCTGGAGCATTTTGTGAGGATTCAAAGAGAAACTTCACGTGAAAATGCTCAGGCCCAGGAAGGTACCAAGGTCTCTACAAATGTGAATGACGCTGTGAGTTGCCAGGCTTCTGCCGGGGGTTCTAATCCCCGAAGTGCAAATTGCTCTCCTCGTTAGCGCCCCCTAGGGACACCCCTGTGCAGGTCTACCTCCCCATTTCCTGCCCTGCCCCAATGAGTCACACCACTCTTGTCATTCCAAGAAATCTTAATTTCTTTATTGACTTTTTGACTCAACAATTTTTTTTAAACTTTTTGTTTTTTTCTGAAACTTTCTTGTTGTTATGAGCCTTTTGTTTTGTTCTCGTTAAATGCACTCGACCCAAAATTGGTTTGGCATATCGAAAAGGAGACTGAGGGAGGAAGGGGGGGGCATGGGGGAGGGAAAAGGAGGCCCGAATGGACAGAGAATCGAGGATGAGAGAAGAGAGGAACACAGACGGCGAGAAAGACACGGGGAGAGACAAGAGAGAAAGGTGAGGCAAGGGGAACCCGGAAGAAATAAAATCTGGAGGAAAAGAATTAACGAGATTCAGGAGCAAATGAATTCGGGAGCCCAAGGGAGTAGGAGAGGAAACCCAAGACCCTTCTCTGTACCGTCCCAGCTGGGGTGGGGGCATCAAGGCACCAGGTCTGGTTGGGTGGGGGGACACCTGGGTTCTCAGGGGTGGCTTTGCGCTGGACCGCAGTGGTGTCCAGCCACACGGCTCTGAGGCCTCAGAGTCCGCCTTGGCGCGTCCAGCTGGAACGGAGACCAAGGGCCCACTACACCCTCTCCCCGTGATTGTCTGCATCTGGAGACAGGAGGGCCGGGGCAGAGGAAGCAGGGCTCCCTGTCCCCTCGGTCCCCTGGGAGCTCTCCCAGCCCTCCTGGTGCCAGAGGCAGCCTCAGGCTGTAGCCGGGCAGGGCCAGCTCCTCCTGCCCTGCTCTTCACAGACCCCCCTGCCCTCTGCAGAGCTGTCCGGCAGGGCTGCCCGGCCTCGCTCCTCCCCGCCTAGACTTCACCCATGGTCTTCCGGTGAAGCAGGTTACACCTTCCTACCAGAAAAGGCCAGAGATGGACCCCACCCCTGCCTCTTCCCCACACCTCTTCCCTTACACGGGACAAACCACCATCTTTGGTCTGACCCCTTCTCCCCTAATTGATGGGGACAAGCCAGCCCCAGCTCCCCAGGAGAAGGGAGGGGCTTTCTAGCAGCAAAAAGGGTCCCCTCCAGCCACCTACCTGTCCCCTTCCCCCCAGTTCCTTCCTAGAGCCCCACCCCCTCAACCCAACGAAGTTCATGGCAGCAGCAGGCTGAGACCCAAAGATGTTTGAAAACTCATGGCACTTGTGAGAAAAGAGGGAAGGGCAAAAGAGACAGGGAGAGGTCACAGCGGAGGTGGAGAGGCCAGCCCTGGGGACATGGCAATGAAGGGGCTGGGCTGGTGTGGCAATGGGGCCGGGGCTGCGCTAACCTCCCAAGAGTGGGCCGTGGGAGGGGGCCTGGGAAGGCTGGGCTGGCGGGCTGGAGAGGAGGGGGCTGGGAGAGGTACTCAGGGGACACCCCAGCATCTGGGGGTTTGGGGTGGAGTCCCCAGAACACTGTCCGGACCCCAGGCCCTGGCACCTGGCTCTGCCTGCCCTGCGGGAGGGTGGCGGATAGGATAGGGAAGGTGACCTCTCCCCTTTGCCCTCTCCTACCCCAGAACGTAGACAACCTCACCACCCCCACTGCCCCCCTCCGCCACCCCCCCATCAAGCCCCCCCAGCTCCTTTCGTTTGTCCTTCCCCCACCAACCTCTCTAGATGGGACGTCAGCCCTTCCTCCCCGGCCCGGAGTCCCAGGAGCAAATGTACAAGAAGCAGAACTCAAAGGGAGAGCGCAGCCGTCTCGGCAAAAGCATCTTTGGGCGTGAGGGTGTCTCCCCCGGGCCGCGGGGAGGGGCGGGGAGACAGGCCTCTGGCCCGGGGCAGGCAGTGAGGTACACGCCCCAGGAGGGCTGATGGTGCCAAGGGGGACAGGAGGGGACAGAAACAGGTGCCGGGAAGGAGTCGGGTTCTTTGTTTCGCTGTTGCATCTAGATTTTTTGTTTTCTGTCTCTGGAGTGTAAAAAGCTGCTCTGGCGGCCCGCCCACCCTGGCCGGGCTGGGGTCACACGGACACGGAGAAGTCCTGGCTGCCGGGGCGGCGGCGCGCTCTGCTCCGGAGAAACCCGGGCTGGCCGGGGCCGTAGGTAGGCTCCCGGTGGCTTCAAGTGATGAGATTTTTCTTTTCTTTTTTTTTTTTTTTTTTTTTTTTTTTTTTTTTTCTTTTCCATTTCGTTGAAATATTTACAGCAATGGGAGAGGAGGAGGAGGAGGAGAGAGGAAGGGGTGAGAGGGCCCCCTAGGGAAAGATCCAAGCCCAGGACCCACTCCCCAGGGAGAACCAGACCCAAAATCTGCTCCCCAGATCGCCAGGCCCACAGGACGGGGCTGCCCAGGCACGGCCGCCCCTGCGGGCCGGGGCCCCGGGGAGTTGTGCTTCATCAGGAGTCGCCCGAGGGAGGGGTCATTGGGTGCACTCTTGGAGGGCGGAGGGGTGGGCTTGCTTGGGGGGCAGGGACCAAGAGCAAGGGGGAAGGAGCTTCAGAGAAAGTTCCACCTTTCAACCACCAGCGGTGGCTGCCCATCCCTGCATCCTGGGGCTTTCTCCCCAGTCTCCAGGGAGCAGGGAGCTCAGCGCAGGAGGAACCTGTCTGTCTGTCCGTCCGGCTGTCCTGTCGCACTGCCCCCTGCCGTGCAGCTGGCAGCATTCCTGGCTGCGGGGACGGGAGCAGCCGACAGGTTCAGTCCAGCGTGTGGAGGGGGGGGCTTTGGCAATCTCAGAAGCGGCCCCTCCCCGCCCAGGGAATCGCACGCCCTCACTTCCCTTTGGGGGTGCGGGCGGGCGGGGGAGTCAAGAAGTGCCACACCCTTCAGTTTCTCCCTCCTCACTCCCCTGGGGGCCGCCGGGCTCCTCCTCACGGCCCTCCCCCAAGTAGAGCTGGTGCGTGTGGCTGGTGGGAAACCCTGTGTGTGAACCTGGCACCTCGGCCCCCAGGTCAGAGCCCCCCGCGGGGACTGCGGGGCCCGTGGTGGCCGAGGGGCACCTGGAGAGAGCGGCCCACCAGCCACTGCCCCCATCAGTCTCCCTCTCGCACCGCAGCCCCGCCCAGGGTTCCCTCCCTGGCCTGGGCCACCGGCCCCTGGTCCGCGAGGTCCCCTCAGAGGCTGGTGACCAGCTGCATCTGCCCGTCCCCGTCGGGCCCTGGCCCCTCGAGGCCCGGGGCTGCCAGGTAGCCCTCGTGGCTAGGCCGCCGCACCTGGTAGTAGCCCTGCAGGGGGTTCCGGGCCACCAGGGCTGGTGGGCGCGAGGTGTAGTAGATCTCAGGGGGGCCGGGGGGCGCAGGCGGGGGAGGGGGCAGGGCCTCGCTGGGCCCCTCGGGGCTGCTGTCCGGGTAGGAGGGCGAGTCCCGCAGGTTGGCCCCGCTGGCATAGAGGGAGTCCCGGCCGGGAGGGGAGGACAGGGGCCGGCTGGCGGCGCCGTCCTCCGCCGTGCAGCTCTCGGACTCGTCCAGATCGCTCTGGTACAGCACCGACTGGGCCCGGGGCAGCAGCAGGGGCTCCTCCAGGGCCTTGTAGAGAAGTTCGATCTCCGCCCGGTCAGCGCCCCCGGGCCCGCCCGCCTCCTCCTCCCCGCCGCCCCCTGGCACGGGCGGCACGGGCGGCTCCGGCGGCGGCGGGGGGCCCTTGGCCCCGCTGCTGCTCCCCCGCAGGTTGTTGTGCACCAGCTCCGAGATGATCATCTTCTCAAAGGCGGCAGCGTCCGCCAGGTTCCGGCCTCGGGGCGGCTCGGGGCCCCCGTCCCCCGGGGGGAAGTCGCCACTTCGCAGGGAGTAGCTGTTGTTGAAGTTGCCGTTGAGGGGCAGGGTGTCCATGCCGCAGGCCTCCCGGCCGCCCAGCGGGTGCTCTGCAGGCGCAAAGGGCTGGTCAGGGCCAGTGTGGGGTCCCCGATACTGTCCCCTCACCCCCCAGTTGGGTGTTTAAAATCTCAGCAGTAGGAGGAGGCAGCCGGGGCAACTAGACCTATTTCCCATGCTAAGACCCTGGTCGCCTTCCTTCCCCCGCCCGCGGCCCAAACTCAGCCAACAACATCCAACACGGAGACTGTGGGGGGCGGGGGGGCACCCCACGTGTCCCTCAGTGAGGCCGTCACCTTGTTCCCCGCCCAGCCTCAGCAACCTCACCAGGACAGAGTCACACTTACTGGGTTCCCGGTAGCTCCCTGCAGGCCGCGCCAGGAGAGAAGAGAGAGAGGCGAGCGTGAGCTTAGAGCGCCGAGTCCAGGCTCCAGCTCCGGGGGCCCGAGAATGAGAACGCCCGGAGCTGGGGAGGCCCTGTGCACGCGGAACCCATGTTTCCCGACCCGGGGCCACGGCTGCCTCCCAGCACCGGACCCCCTTCCCCGCGGGGCGCTCTCACCTGGGGAGTTGAAGACGGGGGGCGAGGAGGGGTTGAAGCCCACCGACTCTGCGATGAGGGTGTTGTAGGGGCTGGTGCCCCCGCGGGGCTGCAGCACGGGGTTGGTCAGCAGGTGGTTCCCCATGGTACCTGCCCGAGGGATCAGAGGTCACCCGGCGGCCCGGGGACACGGGGCCCAGGAGCCCCGAGGGGCTGGATCCGGAGGCGGAGGGACGTGCCTCACCTCGGTTCAGGGTGGGGGTGCTGTTGATGTCACCGGCCATGAAGGAGGACTCCGTCTGTTTCCGCACCGTGTCGTTCCACATCCTCCGGATCCGGCTCTGGGGACGCAGCCCGCGTGTGAGGGGTCCTTGGGCCCGTCCCTCCCCCCACCGCCGGGGACCTTTCTGAGACCCAGGCCCAGCACTGCCCTGCCCCCCGGGCTCCTGACCCTAAGCCCGGGCCCCAGGGAGCCCTGCTCGGGCGGCCTGCCTACCTGGGTCCCCGTGTAGTAGCGGGTGTTGCTCCTCATGGCCGAGGTCTTGAGGGAGCCGTGGGCGCCCCCGGGCGGGGAGCGGATGCAGCAGTACGAGTGGCGCAGGCACTTGCTGTACTCCTTGTGCACCTGCATGGCGGGCGGGGACGACAGTCAGCCGCCTGCACCGCCGCCTCCGTGTGACCCGGCCACCCAGGGGGCCGCTCAGAACAGAGCCAGCCTCGGGAGCCCGGAGACTGAGCTTCCCCACCTTGGTGACGGGCGGGCCACGGACACCTCACTGTCACCTGTCCCCCAGCAGCCCAACGACCCATCAGGCTAGCTCTCTTCTCACTCGCCCAGCCCCTTCCCTCCCCCAGTGACAGCTTCATTCACCCGCAAACCCGACAGGACTGGAGGGAGTGGCCGCCGTGCCTGGGCCGGGGACAGCGGGGACCAGACACAAACCCTCGCCTGTCCGAGCTTAGGTCTCAGCAGGACACGGAGGGAAACGCAAATGTGCTCCACGGGGTGTCTGCGGGAGTGGGAGTGGGGTGCGGGGAGAGACGTGGCCAGGAAGGGGTCAGCCAGTGCTAACGGGGGGGGGAAGGGAGGGGAGATTTTCACCAGATCGGGGGTGGGGGGGGCCGAGAGGCCCGGGTCAGGCCACTGGGCCTGCGTGCCCTGTAAGGACGGTGCTGTCACTGTGTGAGGTGGGGCCGGGCAGGGACGCTGCCTGTGACTGCGTGAACAAGGGCAGTTTGAGCAGAGCAGGGACGTGGTCCCCCTCTCTCGCGACCAGAGCCCTTGTCACGGCCGCCGTCCCCTGCCTTAAGCCCTCCCCGAATTCCGCCCCCCAGGCAGGTGACAGGCCTGGCCGGTGGCCCCGCCGTGGTGAGGGTGCCCGTCTCGGGGGAGGCTGTGGCCCGGGCCCCGCCCTGCCTTACCTTCTTCTGTAAGGCGCAGTGAAAGACGAAGATGAAGACCCCCTGGAAGGCGTTGAAGGTGGTGAAGAGATAGGCCATGACCACGGACTCCTTGTTGATGAAGAGGAGCCCGAAGGCCCAGGTGAGGCCCAGCAGGAAGAGCAGCGCGATGGCCCCCAGGGCCCAGGATCTGGGGTGGGGACAGGGGCGTCAGAGCTCCCGCTGGAGGAGAAGGCCTTAGCCCAGGCCTCCCCGTTTCTAATGCCCGTTCAGCAGGTGCGCAGTGAGGACAACAAAGCACCCGTCTTGACACTTAAAGTGACACACCGGTGACACACTGTGTGTCACCAGAAGCAAGGGCACCACCTTCTAGGACACCCCGGGAGAAGCAGGCATGGGGGCCACGGAGCAGGGGACAGGGCAGGGGGCAGGGTGGGGGCAGGGACGTGCTCACTTGATGTTGTCCAGGCGGCTGGAGTCGGGCTTGAGCACGGACGAGCTTCGGATCATCTTGTGCAGGGTCACCATGAGGAACACCAGGTTCACCTGGGGGTGGGCCGAGGGGCAGGGGCTGGGCTGCCAAGTCTGAGCTTCAGTCCCCTCCCGGCAGGTCCTCCCAGCGGGGCGCGCCCTGTCCCGGCCCCCAGGGTGCCCGCTGTGCTGCGCTTAGTGACGGGCAGGCCTGGCTGCCCAACCTCACTCCTTGCTGCCGGGAGCACGGGGCCCAGGGCCTGACACACAGTAGGGACCGGAATCGCATGTCCCGGGCCAGCGGCCCTCAGTGCCGGGGCTCTACAGCCCAGCCTGCTCTCGTCCCCTCAGCTGGCAACTCGGCTCCCGGGGCTCAGGGAGCGTGCGTGTGTGCGTGCGTGCGTGCGTGTGTGTTGCGGTTTGCGGTCAAGGCCAGCCGGGATGGAGGGTGGGCGCGAGGTGCTAGGGCTGCCGCCTTCGACCTACCACAATAACAAAGGAGACGGGCCCGATGAAGCTCCAGATGAAGTAATTATCCACACGGAGCCAACAGCTGCAAAGGAAACGGGGCAGAGGTAGACAGACGGCAAGGGTGCTTCCTGCCCGCCGGGGAGGCCGGCCTGGGAGGCCGACCCGGAGGCTGGGGACCCTGCCGGCTGCAGCCTCGGGGATCAGAGAGACAGAGGGAGACCAGTGCCCCAGGGGTCCCCGCCCGTGGGGTGCCACCACCGCCCGCGCAGGGGGCCGGGCAGGAGGTGAGGAGGAGGGGTGGGGTGGGGCGGGCAAAGGGTGCCACTCACGCCTTCTCGGTGCCGTAGCTGCGGTAGTCGATGGCGGCCGCGATGCCCACGACCAGGGCGGGGAAGCAGTAGCCGCCCAGGTAGTAGTACTTGGTGCGGGAGTACTCGCTCTCGAACACCTCCACCAGCAGCAGGTAGAGGTGCACGCCCTCCAGGCAGAGCCAGGAGAAGGCGGCCAGGAAGAAGTAGTGCAGCAAGCCCGCGAAGATGGGGCAGGCGATCTGCGGGGAGCGCCGGGGGTCAGGGCCGCCGCCGCCCCAGCGGCACCCCCTTCCCTCTCCCCGCGCCCCGACAGCGGCGGGCCTGGAGCCCAGCCCACCTCATACTGAGTCTTGTCGATGCCGACCAGGAAGAGCAGCTCGGCCAGGAAGAGGTTGATGCACAGGTTCTTGTGGATGGTGTTGCGGTCGGTCTGTAGCCCCCGCAGGAAGCAGAAGGTGGAGATGCAGATGGCCAGGCACACCAGCGAGATCACGATGCCCACCCAGGTGATGACGGACAGCAGCAGCTCGTTGATGCGGCCCTGGTACTGCGGACAGGAGGGGGGGGCACGCTCAGGCCTCTGGCTTTGCACTCTGGGCTCAGCCAGGTGCCAGGTGCAAGGCACAGGGGACCTCGGGGCCTGCCCGCCCGGCCACCTAGCCGGCCCCCACCCCTCTGCAGGCGGCGTGCTCACTTCCTCATGCTCTGAAAGGCTGTGGAGAGATGACAAGGGTGACGCCAACTTGCTTCCTTCTCCAGGGGGCCTTGGGAGGAGGTGGGACCGTGACCAGACAGGGCCAGACGCATGGCCGGCCTCACGCCCCGGGCGAGACCGGGGCCCCCACGCCCCCCGAGGCCGGCCTTTCCCCGGCACCGCCCGTGCCCACTCTAGCACGCCATGCAAAGCGGGGCCGGCGCGCGGCCCGCCCGGGACAGCAGAGCGCGGGCCAGCTTACGATCTCGCGGTGAGCCATGAGCACGGCGAAGTTGGTGAGGTGGCTGCAGGCGCACGTGGTGTGGGTCTTGTTGGACTCCACCAGGCGGCAGCCCTGGGTCGACCAGTAGCCCAGCATGGAGCGCTCCGAGTAGTTCCAGAAGGAGCAGTTGGCATTGAAGTGGTTCTTGTCCTGTTGCGGGGCGGCGGCCGGGGCGTCAGAACTGGGGAGTCCCATTCCAGCCCCCCCACGACCCCACACCCAGAGATGCGGATCGTGACAAGTGTTCGAGAGGTGCCTGGGGTTCGGGGCTCCATGTGACAGTCCGAGGTCTTTGGGGACGAATGGTCCAAGCGACCCAAGTGGGAGAGGCCGCAGTGGCTTGCTCTGCAGGTGGACCACGTGCAGTGGGGGCGGGGGAGAGGCGCAGCCTGGGGACACGGAGGACGCTGGGACCCCTGGGCAGGGAGGGGGGCGGCTCGGCTCACCTCCAGGTGGGCCACGGTGAAGATGACGGGGTCCATGAGGAACACGCGACTGGACTCCTTGTTGATGGACGCCGCGATGACCTGTGAGTTCACCACCAGGGAGGCGCCCCCCTGGCCGCCCGCGCCGGCCTCGCCCGCCAGCTTCACCGTGGCGTTCTCCGTGGACAGGAAGAGGCCCAGGTTGTTGTAGAGGATGAAGACGACTTTGACCACCCCTGGGGAAGACGGGCACAGTCGGACGAGCCAGCAGGCCTTGGCCCGTGTCCCTCTGCCTGGGCCCCCGCTCTGCGACGCCCACGGCCCCCAGCCACGCCGGCCCCGGGGGCCTTGGAAGCCGGGCCACCGTCCAGGGAAGGGGGGCTTGAGGAGCCCTTCCCGTGAGACCGCCGCTCAGCTGCAGGCGGCCCTAAGCGGCAGGGCGGGGGCCGTGACGCACGGCAGGGCTGGGACTCCGGGCAGACCTCTAACTAACTGCGTCTCAGACGGCGCAGTCCTCTCTGAGCTGGGACGGGGCCCGCCCTGAGGGTCCGCAGGGCTTCAGGGCACCCCCGAGTCCCCTAAGGTGTGACACTCGCGCGAGTGGACGCCGCCCGGGACGAGTGCAGGCCCGCCGCCCTCCGAGCGGGGAGCGGGGAGACCCCGGGAGGGCCGGGCGGCCGCCGGGGACACTGACCGTTGCGGCTGTTCTGCTTGATGGTCTTGGCGGACAGCTGGATGGAGTTCTTCCTCGGGTACTCCTCCTGGGGGAACACCAGCTCCTGCACCTGGCCCTCCGTGTTCAGGACCGTGACCTCCAGCACTGTGGGGACAGGGGACGGCAGGGCACACGCGGGTGAGGTCTGCACCCCGTCCCGGGGCTCAGGCTGCGGCATGAGGCCCGACGGCCAGGGGGACCAGGCGTCCCCCGCGGTTCAAGGCCCACGCCCGGCCTTGCCCTGGGGCGGCGGCAGCACTCACCCACGTTCTCCTTGGCGGCCAGGAAGCGGGCGGGCTCCCTGACGTTGTCGGCCAGCAGGAAGGCGCCCTCCTCCAGGACGTCCAGGAGCATGGTGGCCGTGTGCACCTGCTCGGTGGCATTCATGTCCTTCCAGGACTCGAGAGCCTCTGGCCGGAGCAAATTGTCCACGGTCTCCACCACGGCCTGCACGGGCACGGGGGCAGTGCCGTGAGCCCCCAGCACCCTCTCAGCCCCCAGCCCCCGTTCCCCTCGGTCAGCTGCAGCCCACGGTCCTCACGCCGGGTCTCACCTTGATATAGTCTTTGCAGGTCCTCTCCCGTTTGTGCATCTGGGGACAAGGGACAGACACGCGGTGGTTGGGCCGGGCCTCTGGGCGCGGCTCCCCTGACCCCAGCCCCCTCGCATCTGGGCCCCGGAGGGCTCGCTCTTCTGTGTCCAGCCCGGACCCGGGGGCTAGGCCATCGGCAAGGGACATTCCTTGGGCGTCCACCACCCCCAGGACCGCCCAGGGCAGCACAGGAGCCGGAGCCAGCAGCCCCCGGGGTCCCGCCTCTCTGACGAGGTGCCCCCGTGGGGCTGGCAGCCTGGTTCCGGGTGCCAGGTCGGACACGGCCCGAGTCCCCGCGGGGCTGGGCCCACCTTGTTGTAGTTCTTGCCGGCCGACTCGCGCTCGATGGGCCGCAGGGCCTGCAGCTGGGCGTCCAGGATGTCCAGCAGCTGCTCCAGCAGCTTCACGGAGGAGGACACGTCCCCCGCGTAGATGGAGCCGCGGGTGTGGCGGGCCAGCTCGCTGGCGATGTTGGCCGCGTTCTCCCCGCTCTTGATCTGCGTGAGGCCGGGGAGGAAGGGGGGGACCCCAGGTCTGTCAGGGACTGTCCTGCTCTCCCCAGTGTTCCCCTCCCCGTTCGCCGTGCGGCCCCTGCCGTCCCCTTCTCCCTGCCTGCCCCTCCCACCCCATCTGTCCCTGCCCCCTCTGCAGGCCAGGGAGGGGACCCCACAGTCCTGCCTTCCAGACCTGCCAGCCCCGTGCGTCTCCCCAGCTGCTCCACCACCCCGGCTGGGCCCTGGGCCCGAGCGAGTGTGCCTGCCTGGGGGACTGCGGTGGCCGGTACCTTCTGGGCCACCTGGTTGACCCAGGGGGAGGTGCAGTTGCTGAGGTCGGGGCCCCGGGGGTTCCAGAGCCCCAGGGCTGGTAGACACTGGAAGGAGGCAATTCCTGCAGGGACAGACGGACGGGGACAGACAAAGGAGCCGGGGGTGGGGGGACAGGAGAGGAGGATGGGCCAACGCAGGGGGAAAGGACAGGACAGAGAGCAGGGGACACGTGGGCGAAAAGAGAGGTGAGGGGGACACGGAAAAACAGACATGAAGCAGGCCAGACAGTCAAGAGAGGTGCCGCTCTGAGGGGACAAAAGCCACCCCTCACTGCCCCTGAGCTCTCCCTCTGGGCTCCCTTTCTGTCTTCACCTACCAGAACTAGAACCTTCCAGCAAGGCCCATCGGAAGTCCCCCTCGCTCCACGAAGCCTCTTCCAACCCTCCCCTCGGACTCTAGAACACTCGGCCCCAGCCCTTTAGAACGTCAACTGTTCACCTGTCCTGCAGGTGACTGCTCCCGGGGCTGTCCCCCACCAGCCTGAGGCCAGGAGCCAAGTCACCTCCCGTGGGCTCCCTGCGGGTTCTGCAGGTGCGGCTGGGGCTGCCCGAGCCACTGTGCCGAGCTCCGCTGGGCACTGGGGGTGAGCCCTGCCCTGGCCACCTGTGCTAAGCTGCTCCCGGAGCGTGTCCCCATCCCTCCCCTGGCCAGCCACGGCGGAGATGGCCGCAGGCTCCGCACTCACCTCGAGTACCCTTGGGGCAGGGCCTCTCCACCAGCATGCCCTGCTGGGTGGCCGGCCACTGGACCCGCCGTACCTCTCGGGGCTCGCAGAAGAGCTCGGGGGACACGTGCAGATTGGGGGCCGGAGGCCGCCGGGTGCTGGGTGCTGGGGCTGTGGCTGGAGGCAGGTCAGGTCCCAGCTGGTTGATGGCACCCACCGGGTGCGTGGTGAGGGGTGCCCGGCGGAGCGGGGTGGTGGCGGCGGGCGAGGCTGTGCTGGTGAGGGGCGTGGGCCGGGCTGTGGTGGTCGTGCTCAGGGGCGGGGAGGTGGCCGGGCCTGGAACACAGAGGGGACATGAGACAGCGTCACGCCCGTGCTCGGGGCCCTGCCACCTAGCCCACCACAGCGGAAAGGTGTCCTCGGCCCCCTGGGTCTGGGGACAGATCTCTCCCGGCCTCTCTGTGCCTACAGAAGTCCCTTATACCCATGGGACCATATAAGTATCAAAGGTGTCCCCTGAGGTCTGAGCAGTGCAGACAGCAGGTGGCTTCTGAACACTGCCACCTCCCACCTCGTACTAGCTCACCCTGGTCTCTGTAACCTAGCCATGCCCCTCCTCTCTGGAGGCCTCGGTTTCCCCGTTTTGCAAACGAAGCGTGGCGGCGGCAGCAGCAGCCTTGGAGACCGAGGCTGCAGAGAGCTGGCGTCAGGCAGCTGTGTGGCAAAATGGCCCTGCGCGGAGTGGCCCTCGCCCCAGGCAACGGCATCGGCCCAGCCTTTTCTGGTTCTGTGGGTGTTGGGCTTCCACCCAAGATCTTGGTGGGTCCAAGGCCCAAAGGTGCCCAAGCGCCCACGAGTGGCGGTGCAGTTCAGTGCTTAGGAGCCCAGTCCTGGGTTCAAACCTCCAAATAAGTTAACCCCCTACCCACCCTGCACCTCGACGCCTGCGTTTACAACACGGGCACGAGGAGGATTCTTGTCCCATAAACTCTGAGGATTAGACAAGCTCAAGCGCTTGGGACAACACCTATCACACACGCCGTGACTTCCTTTCACCTCCTGGGCTCACACCCGAGCCTGCCTCCGGCCCCCCAAGAGGGAACCCACCCCCACCCCACCCCACCCCGGGGCCCCAGGGGGACAGATGCAAGCAGGTCCCCGGGGCCGGGAAGCCAGCGGTCCTCACCGGCGCTGGGGTCGGGCGGCCCGAACTCCAGGCTGTAGCGCACCACGAAGTAGTTGTTCCAGACGTAGAGCTGGTTGTCCCGAGGGTTGTAGTCCACGGAGGAGATGAACTGGTAGGGGTTGGGGAAGGCGAGGCCCACGGGCTCCTCGCGGTTGGAGTTGGTGTTGAAGGCGTAGTCCACGCGGTTGCCGGCCGCCTCGCTGTCGTCGTCCACGTAGACGGAGCGCAGCACGTACAGCACCCCGCACACCATGAAGGCGTTGGAGGCCGAGCGCTTGTCGTAGCCGGTCTCCCACGTGCCCTCGAAGCGCAGCGTGTAGGGGTTGAGCTGGCTCACCACCAGCCGCCCGTTGTTGCCCTCGGTGGCGTAGATGACCCACAGCCCGTTCTCGTCCACCGCCAGGTCGATGTCGGTCTTGCCGCCCCAGCGGTAGGGCGACGTGTCGTGGTAGTTGGCGGTGTTGATGACCGTCTCCCCGCTCTTGATGCGCGTGCGCAGGTCGTACTTGACGATGTTGCGCGTGCGCTCCTTGTTGTAGAAGACGGCGCCGTCGTAGACCACGAAGCCCGTGCCGTCCACGCGGTTGGGCAGGCGGTAGGTGGTGGTGTGGCGCGCCGCCACGTAGTCCTCCCACGACGCGTACTCGGTCAGCGTGTCCGTGCGGTAGGGGATCCAGGGCATCACGTAGATGCGGTCGCCCGCCTGCAGCGGGTCCTTGCACCACGCGCCCGACTGGTGCTCCGACTCGTGCGTGGACGTGGGCTCCAGCACCTTCTGCAGGGTCCCCGGGCACACGAAGACTGGAGAGGGCGGGGCGGGGCCAGAGCGGAGGGGCGGAGGCAGGGGGGGGCGAGAGAGACAGGGGAGAGAGACAAGTTGGTCACGCTGCGCGGGGGGAGCCAGGCCGCCCCTCCTGCTGCTGCAGTCACGGTTGCTTGGTAGGGCTGGTGACGGGAAGGGGCCCCCCTCCCGCCGCCCAGCCCAGCTGCCCCTCTCCCTGGAGATGTGAACCCTGGAGGCCATTAAGAGCGGGTTAGTGGGGGACAGTGGTGCCCTTCCCCTGCCCTGGCTGGTAGAGACCCCACAGGCTGGGGAGAAGGGGTTTGGTCAGGGCCCTCCCAGAGGGTCTGGTGCCATTTAAGCAGGGGTGGGGGTGGGGTGCAAAGACTCTCCCCACTGCAGTCGCTTCTGGCTTTGACGTCCAGGCACCCGGCACCTGGCTCTGCTCCCCCCTCTCGGCCCCCTAGGGAAGAGCTAGGGGTCCAGGGTCCCATCCTTCACCAACCACACCGGGACAGAGATTTTTTTTTTTTTTTTTAATTTTTAACTCCACTTTCTTCCTCCTGCAAAAACTGCAAGGTAGAGTGATGTTTCCGTACCCACTGTGGGTGTCAGGAGCACCCCTATTCCAGGGTGGGGGAGGCATAGGGGCGTCAACTCTCTCCCCGGGCTCCTGATGTGTCTGTACCCCCCACCCGGTACCCACAAAGCCAACAGCCGAGGCGGCTCCCAGGCTAGGACAGTGGAGAGGTCCAGCCCCTCCCTGAGGGCGCCAGCCCTGCCCCCAGCCGGCAGGGTCTCTCATGGGGTCTGGCTCGGCAGCAGACACTGACACTGGTGCACAGGGGGTGGGGGTGGGGACATGGAGAGGGACAGGACTCCCGGGAGAGTAGGGGAGGGGAGAGGAGAGCTGTGCAGAGGGAGAGAGACAAGGGGGGGGCTCGGCGAGGTCCGGCTCCGGGGGAGGCTGGCTGCAGACCACCTGGGAAGAAAGGGTTAGTGCTGGCGAGGAGAGAGGGGTGAGCAGAGAATTCACTCCAAGGCCCAGGCCCGACTGAGGGTCCCTCAGGGGGGCAGTCCCAGGTCCAGCTCAGAGGGGGCAAGGGAGGGAACCAGGTGCTAGGATAAAGACCCAGCCCGCCCCAGCCAGGCCCCCCACCTCCCCTGCCCCGGACCCAGATTTACCTGCGACCATCCCCGGCTCGGGAGGAGGGACCAAGGCAGCGCTGATGTCAGAAAGGTGGGGGGCCCCGCCCCACCCCCCCATTCCCTGAAAAGGAGGAAAACCTCAACTGCATCTCGTTGGCCGCCGCTGGCCTGCCCACCCTTGCCCAGTCACGTCCCGGCGCCACCTGCTCCTAGCCTCCCTTACTGATCCGTGGGGTCAGAGTGGCCAGGCCCCCGCCGCCCCACGGCGCCGACAGCCGGCGCCCTCCGTCCAGGATGGCCGGGCCTCCCTCTCACCTCCCGGCTGGCGGAACCCACAGACAGGCCGGGGAGGGCTCAGGGCGGGGGTGGGGGGTTGCAGTGAATTCTCTGCTCCTGCTTGGGCTGTCACCAAAGCAGCTGGCCCCAAGGGGGACAATGAGGTCTGGGACCTGGCATCGGCTTGGGCGGCGGCCCCGGTGGCAAGAGGGGCTCGGGCAGGGCAGGGGGGCCTCTCCTCGTTCCCACTTCCAGCAGGCCTGGGGGTGGGGGCATATGCAGGCCTCCCTTCACAGCAGGGGGACAGCGTGGCTTCAGGGTCCCCAGGCACAAAGCAGCCAGGAGCACGTCCCATTTGGGTAGGGGAAGGGGAGCCCGGGGCACAGGGGTGGCAGGAGCCAGATGACCCTGGCTTGGGCCCTAGGGCCTGGCCATCTCCCTGTCCCGGGTGCAGAGGGGTTAACCTGCCCCTCGTCCAGCATGCCGGCCCCTGCCCTGTCCCTCTGTGCCCCGGGTCTCCCCTCTGCCCAAGCCGAGCCCCTGTGCCAGGTGTGTGGCACCCGAGGGGATGTGTCTGTGTGTGGAGGGGACAGTGGGAAGTCTCAGAGCCTGAGCTGGTCAGAGGGGGTTGGGGACGGAAAAATGTGGTTAGAGGTCACCTGGGGGAAGGGGGAGAAGGTGAGGAACAGTCTGCCTGGGGCCTTGGACAGCAAGGACCCCTCCCCAGCACCAAGCTCCCAACACTTCCACTTCCCTCCCCTCCTGCCCCCTCCCACCCCACCCCTCCTCGAAGAGAAAAACTCCAAAGCTCCGGCATCCAAACCACCAACACAGGCCTGCAAGAAGAGTGGCTGGTGCTGGGAGGGAGAGAGAGGGGCAGTGCAGGGGTGCAGTGAGGGGCTGCCTCGGGCTGTCGGCCCAGGCCTCTCTGAGATGGGGGTGGGGGTAGGACGGGGAGGGGAGCAGCTCAGAGGGACCCCGCCCCACCTCCCTCCAGGGGATGCTCCACAGACCACCGTAATTTCAAGGCAAAAGGGATCCCGGAAGGCCATGTCACTCAGCCCCGGCCCCTGCTGCGGCCTCAGGTCTGTCAATGTCCCGAGCTTTGTGGGGAGGAGATAACCATCCCCGACACCCACCCTCCTCGGAGCCCCTCAGCTGCAGCACCAGCCCCCCCCAGCACCGGGCAGCCCATCCACCGTGGAGTTCTCTGCAAGAAATTACGGTGTTCGTGGAAGTCCCCAGGCTGTGTCCCTCCCCCGCCCCTCTCCCTGTCCTCTGACCACAACAGCCCTGAAGAAACCCTGACTGCAGCTTTGCAAGTGTGAAAGAAACAGAGAAAAACGCTCCCCCAACCCGCGCTCCCCCCACCACAAGGCCCGCCCCCGCCCCCTCGCCCTCATTTTTTTTTTTTTTTTTTGGCAGGCTGCCCCCTCCCAGGGCTGGGGACAGCTGACATCCCTCCCCAGGGCCGGGCCCCCAGCTGGCCAGGAATGGGGGGTCGGGGTTGGGGGGAAGGGGGCGGGGGGGGGCTGGTGCTCCGTGCTCCAAAACAGCTCTGGGCCTTGGAAACGCCAAACCAGGAGGAACTTAAGCCACCAGGAGCCCGAGCGATAGGAGAAATCTGCTCCCCGAAAGGAAAACAAAGGTGTCCCCTCCAGCCCACCTCCCTTGAACCAGAAACATGTTATAAAAGGTGCAGAGGGAGGAGGAAGAGAGAGAGAGAGAGAGAGAGAGAGAGAGAGAGAGAGAGAGAGACAGCGAGCTCACCCCAGTCCCTCCCTCCCCACCGCCCTAGATGATTACACAGTTCTCCTGAAGGAGGCAAAAGAAGTATGAGAGGAGGCCGGTCCCGCAAGGGCAGGGGCCAGGAAGGAGGGACAGGGAGAGAGAGAAAAAGAGCGGGAGGCAGAGAGAAGGGGACAGGCAGAGGGAGAGAGCACTTCCTGCCCGAGCTCAGAGAGGAGCTTCCGTGGGTATCTGGAGGGCGGGGCGCCCATGGCAGAACTAGGGCTGGCCCGGTGGGGCGGGCGTCCCCCGGGGTGGGGGACATCGGCTGGACCGAGTGGGGGTTGGGGGGAGAAGAAGGGGCCGGGAGGGAGGGCGGGCGGGCGACATAAGTATGCACAGGTAGAACAAAGTGTGAGTTAGGGGTTAGCATTGGTAACAGTGCGTTTACCTTTCTGCTCCACTTCTACTTTAAGCATCGGAAGAGAGAGAGAAAACAAATTGAAAAAAAAAATGTGCAAGAAAAAAAGAGAAAAAAAAAAAAGAGATTAAATTGCTTTCGTTTCTTTTCTGGCAACACGCCCCCTTTTTCCTTTCCTTCCTCGCTCCTGTTTCCCACAACCCCTTCCGCTGTAGCATCAGGTCGGCCCCCGCCCCCACGTCCCTTCCTCTGGGGTAAAGTGGGGCGAGAGGGGACACAGTGGGGGGAGGGGCCACACGGAGGGAAGAGACGGAGAGAGACACCGGGTGGGGGGACAGGCAGGCACCGGACAGAGCCCTCAGGGGGGACGGGCACCCTTGGTGCAGAGGGGCAGGGAGGGGGAGCCCCTGCTGGGAGGTGGGCGCTGGTTGGGGGGGCACCAGGGAGTGGTGGGGTGAAGGAGCCACTCGGCTGCCCTCCCACCCTGCCTGCTGCCCTCCTGCTAGAACCAGGGGCCCAGGGGACGGGGTTCAGCGTCTCCCAGCCGGGAGAACAGGCTGAGCCCCTTCCCCCGTGTGCCGGCCTCCCCAAGTCCAGCTAAGCTCCCCCAAGCCCTCACAACCCAGAAGCAGCAGACACAGAGAGAGGGTGACAGAGCCAGACACGGAACAACAGAAAGGCGGACAGGCGGACGGGCCCGGGCCTCAGACAGCGCCGGGGCCGGGGAGACAGAGGCAGGGGCGGTGGGGCGGGGCGGGGGACACAGACCGGGCGGGACAGGGGGGGGCACAGACACACTCCCCCACTCCCCCGACTGGGGGCAGGCAAGCCCGAGGCTGGCTCCTCTGCTCAGCCCGCGGGGCCCAGGGCCCAGGGCCCAGGAGCCGGAGCCCTGGCCTGCGGGTGCCCCGGCGGCGGCACCTGGGGGAGGAAGGGGCGGTTAGGCTGCGCTCAGCTGCAAGGCAAATCCAGCGTTAGTCGGGCTTGTTCCAGCGTGGAGGGGTCCCCACACATCCCATGCCCCCTCCCCACGCAAGCCCCTGCCACCCACCCCTGACCCGCCCGCACCAGCACTGGGGTCACCCCAGCCTCTGAAGCCCTGGGCCAGCAGGCTGCCCGGGCCGCTCCCTCCAGCTTCTGCGTCGTCCCTGGCCCCTCAGGACCCTCTGGCCAGGGGCCGGCTCTCCTGGCTGCCTCTGGCGGCCCCGGCGGGGAGCTCTGGCTTCCCAGGGCCTGGCACTCAGGAGGTGCTCAGTGGACGTTTGGGGGACAAGTGGGTGCCCAGCCTCCCTGTGCTCTCAGCTGCCTTCTGTCCCTCCTTGTAACTCCAGCCCCTTTCCTCTGGAGGACCGGGAGCCAGCTAGGCCCCCTCGCTCCGCCCTGGACACCCACCGTGTGTGCGCACGTGAGTGTGTCCTGTCCCCGAGGGCCAGCTCTCCCATCAGACTGGGGGCCGCCCACCCCCTGGGCTGTCCTGCCCCCGTGCCCGGAGCCCTCTCTGTAGGTTGCACCTCCCGGACCACACTCGGGGGCTCGGCTCCAGGGGGTGTCCCAGCTCCCGGGCCCTCTAGCTTTCTTCTGCTTCTTCTAGTGTCATCTGCTTGCTTTTGGGCTCCACTTGGACCAGGGACTTTTTCCTGCCCTTAATCTTGCTTGCCTCGGGAGCAGTTGGGTCCATCGTCTGTTGTTAATTTTATTTTGATGGCCGCAGAAGTAATAGTAATAATCGGTGAGAGGCATTACAAGTAGTCCCAAAAAAGGCCGAGTGCCAAGCGTCCCGCATTTACAAGGTGCCGGGAACCACACCAGGCACCCGCAGCCAGCCCTTCCAGAGCCCTGCCTGTAGATGGGGGAAATGAGGCCCAGTGACGTGAAGCCACGTGGCCAAGGCCACAAGCTGGCACAAGCAGGGAACGTTTCGTTTGCACCTATGGCTCGGGGCACACCAGAGCTCTACCCACACTGTCCCCACTCTTGGTGGTCTCTCCCCACCCGGCACAGGTGAGCACACAGGCTCAGCGGGCGGAGGGAGCCTCGTACCATCACTGAGCACTTCCTGGACCAGGCACGGGTCTGGGCGCCAGGGCAGGTGAGGACAGACGGAGACTCTGCCCTTGGGGACTGGACACTCAGCACTCTGCCACTGGGAGCGGACTCTGTGGCCGGCCCTGGGGGCCGAGCGCTGCTCACGCCTCCTCTCTCGGACTCACGCCTCCTTCTGCCGCGGCCCAGAGAAATTAAGTCCCTAGCTCAAGGTTTCAGAGCCAGAAAAAAATCCAAGAGCCCAGTTGAGCCTCAGACCCAGGCCCGGCTGGCTTGCCCTCTGCGCTAAGCTCGCTGCCTCCCGCCCGCCTTCCCCGCTGCCCCGGCGGGCAGTGTCCCCAGTGCTGTGGGGAGGCTTCAAGGAGCAGATGGGCGTCCCCCTCAGGCGGTGGCTGAAGGCCTCAGGCACTGAAAGGAAAGGGCAAGAAGTGAAAGAAGAAAATTATGGAAGCACATAAGGGATCCTGTTTCCCCCAGCGTCATCCAGTCACCTGCAAGGAGAAATCAAAGGTTGGGGGGAAAGGCTGGGGCAGGAGGGGAGAGTTACAGGGTCTCCTGGTCCCCTGCCCCTGCCCACCACACTCAGACACCCTGGTGGCCCTGCCTCCTCCCCCCTCCGCCCGGAGGCCCTACCTCCAAGTTGGCTACATGGAGCCCGGTGGGGGAGGAGAGGGAAGGGTGATGGGGAGGGGGGAGGGAAGAGAGAGGGCAGGAAAGAAGGGCGATGTTAAGGGTGGGGTGCTGAGGAGGAGAGACCCTGTCTTTGTCTGCTCCCCATTGCCAGGTGTAAGACAGCCAGGCTTCTGGCTCCCCATATCACATTCCTCAGGCTTCCCGGAAGCCACCCTCCATCCAACATGGCGGCACTTCCTCTGCAGACAGGAAGTGCTATCGTGGTAATGGGCAAAGCAACTGGGAGATACAGAATCTGTTGAAAGTGCCCCAGCCCTTCACGCCAGATCTGCCGCCAGGCCTCAGGGGGTGATCTGTGTCTCTGTGGGTGTGAAGTCCAGGATCGATGACTGGGAAGAGCAGGAGTGGAGGCGTGTGGGGAGTGAGGGCGCTGAGAAGAGGTGGAGGGAGTTGAGAGAGGCGGGGTGGGCGGGTGGTGAGTGAGAGGGAGGAGAAGGTGCCCAAGGGGGGTGCTCAGGAAGGGAAGGTTGTGAACGCAAGAGGGAGGCAGAGGGATGAGAAGGGCAGCCAGGCCCAGGACGAAGAGAGATTAAGTGTGCGAAGCAGAGCACGAGAGCGTGGCCTGGAAGTGCGTGAACGAGAGCAGGGGTGCGTGAGGCAGTGAGGTGAGTGGGCCGGGAGCCAGAGTTGGAGAAGGTGCCCTGTGGAAGGGGCAGGGTCTGCGAGGCGGGGGAGCAGGCCCCAAGGGTGGGCCAGGGCTTCTGGGAGAAGGAACGTGTGAGGGAGCGAGCGGGCCCGGCTGCCCCCCGAGGGCAGGCCCCGTGCATGCGTGCACGCGTGTCCAGGTGGGTCAAGGTGTCTCCTCCTCGCTTGCTCCATAGGGGGAAGGGCCCGCGTCCGCACAAGGAACAAGATGACTCACTGTAGGGGACACAGTCGTACTGCACCTCCAGGTACTTGTAGGTCCCAGGGCAGGGGTCGGGGAAGGCGTCGGAGCCGGCAACCACCACGCACTGGGTGCGATTGTTACACCTGCAGGAGAGAGACGGGCGCTGGGAAAGGCAGACCTGCCCCCAGAGGGCCCCCGGGCTCCGGAGGGGAACAGACGCCCCCAAATTGGGAAGGCATCGCGGTGCTGGAAACCACGCCCGGAGGCCGTGCGTGGGCATCGTTTTCTGTTTCCTGCCTGCTTTCTCCTGCCCACCAGACGGGGTTCTTCTACTTTCAGCCCCGGCACGGCACTGGGGCTGGGATGACGGCGTCGCCCCGCAGGCAGTGCTTGCCTGGCCGCCCCTTGTCACTCTCATCCTATCTGAGTGTCGCTGATACTATTGCATCTTTGGTATTTTTTTTTTAATTGACTTTATTTATTTATTTATTTTCAGACACTCTCACTCTGTTGCCCGGGCTAGAGTGAGTGCCGTGGCGTCAGCCTCGCTCACAGCAACCTCAATCTCCTGGGCTCAAACGATCCTCCTGCCTCAGCCTCCCAAGTAGCTGGGACTACAGGCATGCGCCACCATGCCCGGCTGATTTTTTCTGTATACATATATTAGTTGGCTAATTAATTTCTATTTATAGTAGAGACGGGGTCTCGCTCTTGCTCAGGCTGGTTTCGAACTCCTGGCCTCGAGCGATCCACCCACCCCGGCCTCCAAGAGAGCTGGGATTACAGGCGTGAGCCACCTCGCCCGGCCTTAAATCGACTTTAGAGCTCCCGCGTTGTCCACTGATACGAGCGAAGCCGCACACGGGAGCAGAGTCGTGGCAAACATGCTCTCAAGGAAGTGCTCACAGGGTCCAGCCGTGGCCACCTCGGCCCACATAGTGGACACGTCCCGCCTTCTGGGCGGTGCTGTGGGTACCCGCAGCCAGAGCAGTGCCGCGGGAGAGAGTCTTTTATTTATTTATTTATTTAAATTTTATTCTTTTGTTTTCTTTTCTTTTTTAATTTTCTTCCAGCAATCCCACTTCTGAACGGAGGAGAGTCTTTTTACGGGAAAGCCACTCTCGGTCCCCGAGAGGGAACGCCGCTGAGTCCCTGGCAACTTCCCAGGGGTCTGACCGGCACCTAAGTAAAGGGGACCCCGTTTAACAACAAAGAGACGAGCGTGGCATGACATCTGCCGTCTGTCCCTGCAGTCGGGGCCCCCTTCCTTGGAGCAGGCTAAGTGCGGGCCGGGCCGGGCAGGACGGGGCGGGCAGGGAGCAGAGGGAGGGTTGGGTCTCCCCTCCAACCCTGCCCGTAAGTAAGCAGCGAGTGCCAAACACTGACACAGAAACTCAAGAAACCGCGAAGGGTCTAGAAGGGTCTAGCGGGGAGGGAGGCATAAAAAACGTGGGTGGAGGGCGGGGGGAACAGGGCGTGGGAGCGTCTGTCCATACCCATCGGCCTCACCCCCTTCTTTAAAAGGGTGTGCATAATAAATCTCTCAGTGTGCATCTCTCGGGTGTGCATAATAAATGGTCCCCCTCCCTTTCCAAGATTTCACTTTCTGCGGTTTCAGTTACCTGCAGTCAACCTCGGTCCGAAAATATTAAATGGAAAATTCCAGAAATAAGCAGCTCCTAAGTTTTAAATTGCGTGCCATCCTGAGTAGCATGATGGGATCCCATGCTGTCCGGGACATGTCCACGCAGTATCCGCTACCCACCTGTTGGCCACTGCCAGCCGTCTCTGTTTCTAGATCTGTCATAGCATTGCAGTGCTTGTGTTCAAGTAACCCTTACTTTACTTACTAATACTTTACTAATAATAACTTAATTATCAGGTTTTTTTGTTTTTATTTTTCTTGAGAAAAGGTCTTGTTCTGTCACCCCAGCCAGAGTGCAGTGGCATCATCATAGCTCACTCCAGCCTCAAACTCCTGGGCTTAAGCGATCCTCCCACCTTGGACTCCCAAAGTACTAGGATTACAGGTGTGAGCCACTGTGCCTGGCCTAATTATCAGTTATTGTTGTTAATCTCCTGCGGTGCTTAGTTTGTAAAATTAAACTTTATCCCAGTATAAGAAAAAACATAGTATATATAAGGTTCCCTGCTATCTGTGGTTTCAGGCATCCACAGGGGGCTGCGGTCCCCAACCCCTGGGCTGCAGGCTGGTCCCAGTCTGTGGCCTGTTAGGAACCGGGCGGCACAGCGGGAGGTGAGCAAAGCTTCATCTGTATTTGGGGCCGCTCCCCATCCCCCGCATCACCGCCCGAGCTCCGCCTCCTGTCAGAGCAGCAGTGGCCTTAGATTCTCACGGGAGCCAGAACCCCACTGGAATCTGCACATTCGAGGGATCTCGGTTGTTCGCCCCTTGTAAAAATCTAATGCCCGGTGAGCCGAGGTGCAGCTGAGGTGGTGATGCCAGCGCTGGGGAGCGGGTGCAAATGGGATAAATGTAATGCACTTGAATCATCCTGAATCCAGCCCCTCCCACCCTCCCCTGCCGCCGTCCATGGAAAAATTGTCTTCCATGAAACCAGTCCCCGGTGCCAAAAAGGTTGGGGACTGCGGCGCTAGTGGTCTTGGAACGAAGTTTCCCCAGTGGAGAAGGGAGGGACTGCTGCACCCAAAAGAACTCAAAGCAGGTGTTTGGGTAAGTCCATGTCCACAGCAGCACCATTCACAGTCACCAAAAAGCGGAGACAACGCGAATGTCCACCCAATGAATGAACGGATAAACGAAATGTGGCCTATCCACACAATACATTGATATGTTACCCAGTTGTCAAAAGGAATGAAGCACCGGGACACACGGCACACGACAACATGAATGGACTTCTTCGAAGGCGTGGTGCCGAGCGAAAGAAGCCAGACACAAAAGGCCACGCAGTGTGCGGCTCCATTTATAGGTAATGCCCGGGACAGGCAAACCCATGGAGACAGAAAGCGGGTCAGTGGCTGCCAGGGGCTGGGGTTAGGGAGAAAAAGGGAATGACTGCTAATGGGTATGGGGTTTCTTTTTGGGGAGATGGAATGCGCTAGAAGTGGTGGTTGCACAACACTGTCAGAGTGCTCAATACAAGTGAATTGTTTATTTTTTAGAGACAGGGTTTTGCTCTATCGCCCAGGCTGGAGTGCAGTGGCTCACTGCGGCCTCCAACTCCTGAGCTCAAGTGATCCTCCTGCCTCAGCCTCCCCAGTAGCTAAGAGTATAGGCATGCACCACCACACCTGGCTAATATTTTAAATTTTCTGTAGAGACGGTGGGGGTAGGGTGGGGTGGGGGTCTCACTAAGTTGCCCAGGCTGGTCTCCGAACTCCTGGCCTGAAGCGATCCTCCGGACTCCGCCTGGGAAAGCGCTGGGATTACAAGGTGTGAGCCACCGCGCCCAGCTGAACTGTTCTCTTTAAAATGGTTAACTTTAAATCCTAGCTCTCTGGGAGGCCGAGGCGGGCGGATTGCTCAAGGTCAGGAGTTTAAAACCAGCCAAGAGCGAGACCCCGTCTCTACTATAAATAGAAAGAAATTAATTGGCCAACTAATATATATAGAAAAAATTAGCCGGGCATGGTGGCGCATGCATGCCTGTAGTCCCAGCTACTCAGGAGGCTGAGGCAGAAGGATCGCTTGAGCCCAGGAGATTGAGGTTGCTGTGAGCTAGGTTGACGCCATGGTACTCACTCTAGCCTGGGCAACAAAGCGAGACTCTGTCTCAAAAAAAAAAAAAAAAAAAAAAAAAAAAAGGTTAACTTTAGCCCATTTAAAAATAAATTGCGCTATCCTGCCGATTTAAAATAAATAAATAAGTGAATGAATGAATGAATAAATAAATAAATAAATAGTTATTTATTTGGCACCTGAGTAAAAGAACACCTGCCCGATTTCCACCTGTGGACTCCGTGTCCCCGCCTCCCCTGCGGCGGGGAAGTGCACGTGACCTAGCTCTGGCCAATGAGGTGAGAGTGGGCGTGGCATACGCCTTTAAAAGGCCGGGCTCGGGCAGGCGCGGACACAGAGAGAGGCTCGTCCCGGCGCGGAGGGCGGTTGTCAGCTCTGGTCTAGTTTGGGTGGGTGTGTTTGTTCTGGGGTGTCCTGTCGGAGCGGCTTAGCTGTGACCTTCACTAGCACAAAGAGCCTCCAGGTTCTGATGGTGGAGTATGTGGGGGCGCTGGGGCCTCGCCAGAGGAGGCAGGACCGAGACCCCTCCCCAAGTGGGTCCTTCCCCTGGCCCCAGTAACTGCATGGCTCGGTGTCCCCCACGGGCAACGGAGCGGGCCGGATGCCGTCAGTACCAGGCGCAGGAGAGACGTGGAGGACAGCCCAGCGCCCGGAGCTGGTGCCGGGTGGGCGAAGCCGGCAGGGAGCATCCGGGGAGGCAGGAGGAAGGGCGCGGGGTAAGCACGGGCTGGGAGGCTGGGCTGGGAATGCCCAGGCAGGGGTGGCAGGAGACAGCACTGCTCCCCCCTCGCCTGTCTCAGCCACGAGACCACCCCCACCCCCTGCCCCAACCTGCCCTGAGGCTTGCAGTGACCGCCTCCCGCGGTGACACATTCTGGACTGGCCCCAGCCCTCCTTCCCTTTGCTCTCTCTGACATTAGGCGGACATCCTGTAGGCGCCTGCTGTATACCTACCTGCCTGTGGACAAAACTCCCTGCCCTTCGGGGGAGGGGGGCTGACTGCCCGGTGATGGAAGACACAAAATAGACCCAATAAAGAGGCAAAATAGGCCCGGCACGGTGGCTCACGCCTGTCATCCTAGCACTCTGGGAGGCCAAGGTGGGAGGATTGCTCGAGGTCAGGAGTTCGAAACCAGCCTGAGCAAGAGAGAGACCTTGTCTCTACTATAAATACAAAGAAATTAATTGGCCAACTAAAAATATATATAAAAAAAATTAGCTGAGCATGGTGGCGCATGCCTGTAGTCCCAGCTACTCGGGAGGCTGAGGCAGGAGGATGGCTTGAGCCCAGGAGATTGAGGTTGCTGTGAGCTAGGCTGATGCCACAGCACTCGCTCTAGCCTGGGCAACAGAGCGAGACTCTGTCTCAAAAAAAGAGGCAAAATATCAGAAATATGGATGGGAGGTGGGGCTAGGGGAGAGAAAGGGGGTTCAGATAATGGGGAGCTACAGTCGTGGTTAGGAAGGGAGGGACGGGACCTGACTCAGGTGCTCACAGGTGCCCCCGGGCCACATGGGGAGAACTGACGGTAGCAGGTAAGGGGGCGAGGACGACAGGCGGGAGGGAGGTCACTGCAGCGACCCCGGGGCCAGGTGGCCAGGGACGCAGGGGTCAGAGTCTGGGTGTGATTTGGGGGTAAGGGCGACGGGCTGTAGGCGCACTGGCTGTGGGTGACAGGCTGCTCCCGGCCACCCACACCCACACACCTGCTCCCAGACAGACACTCCGACACACTCACACGCTAGCGAGACCTGTGTCACGAGAATAAGTGAATGAGCAGGAAGACTGCGGGCGAACGGCCGGGAGACCAGCGCCGCAAGGCGAGCGCCTGCCCCGAAGCCCTCCCGGGCGCCGACCCACCTCTGCGACATGATCTTGAAGGCGTCGGGCAGGTAGCACTGCACGTTCTCCATCTGGAAGGGGTCGGCGTCGCAGATCTTGTCGTCCGTGCGGCCGTAGTTGGCGTTCTCCACCATGATGACGTCGCTGCCCGGGCACCGCAGCTCGATGGGGTAGCCTTCGCACGCCAGCTCCCGGCGCATCAGCCCGAACGGAAGCCCCGCCCGGCTCAGGCCTGCGGGAGAACGGGGGGTGGCGGCCGTGGGCGACACGCGTAGGGGAGCCCGGGCCGGGAAGGGAAGACCCCGGCTGCTGGCCTGGGAGGGGGCACCAAAGCCGGCGAGGTGGGAACCTCGGTTTGTCCAGCTGTACAATGGGCCCCTCGCTGCGCCCACCTGCGCGGTGGCGGCGTTACCTGGCCCCGGGAGAGCCTGGCCTTTGCCTTCAGCTCCCAGGAGGTGACCTCTTGGCCTCTAGAACGTCCTTCCTGATAAAAGCGTCTGTTTTCCACATCAGATAGTCCGCGGTTAAACTGTGTCCCCCCTGAAACGTTCATATGCAGAAGTCCCCACCCCAGCACCTGAGAACGTGGCCTTACTTGGAGACCGGGGCATTATTGAAGTCATCGAGTTAAAGCGTGGCCACCAGGGCGAGCCCCGATCCAACGTGACCGGGGTCCTGACCCACAGGGGCGATCTGGACGGGGAGGGGGGCGGGGGTGAGAAGATGTGCCGCGCGGGGAGGAGACGGCCACGCCCGAGCCGAGGAGCGAGGCCCCCAAAGGCACCAACCGTGCCGACACCTTGACCCCGGGCTGCGAGCCTTCGGAATCGTAAGCCACGCCGTCCGTGGAACTTTGTCACAGCGGGTGTAGCAAACGAGCACACCAGCAACGCGGCTCAGGGCGGGGGCGGGGGTCACGCGGTGTCAGTTGGTCTCTGGAGGGGCTGGAGGTTTGGGTCAGGAGCCACGTCTATGTGACCGGGCTCCAGTAAGGACCCTGGACAGCGAGGCCCAGGGCGGCCACCCCTGGTTGGACGCCGCCGCGTGTGTGTTGTCACTCGCCACTGCCGGGAGGGTGAAGCCTGTCAACCACCCCGCTGGCCGGGCGGCGGGCAACCGGGAGCTCTCTGCGCGTGGAACTTTCCTGAACTCTGCCCTCGTCTAACTCTAACCTGCGTCCTGTCGAGGTGGCAACCCGCCACCGTGAGCCTAACGTCTTCCGCCGAGTCCTGGGTCCTTCTAGTGCGTGGTCAGACTTGAGTGTGGCCTGGGGGGGCCCCTGAACTCGTACCCGGCGTCAGAAGTGAGGGCGGCCTTGGGGACCACGCTGACGTCACACCGGCCCGCACAAGGAGCAGAGAAGGCACAGGACTGCGCCGAGGTTTCGAAGCCACACGGAGGTGGGCTTCGCCACTTCCCAGCTGCGGGGGCCGGCGGGGTGTGGCCTGGAGACCCACAGCGCCACCCGGTCCGGAGTGCGGATTCTGGGGCCCTTCTGGGGCTGCTTGCCCACCAGGAGAGTCTGACGCACGCTCACGTTCCGACAGCCCCTGCCGTGGCCTCCCCGAGCCTCGGTTTCCCAATCTGGAAGATGGGCACCTGCAGCCCAGCATCGAACCGCAGGGATTCTTATACCTTAGAAAATGCTCTCGAAGGGTGGGGCCCGCACGAGGGGGGCTCCTCGGTGAGGGGCTTGCCCGTTATTATCTGGGAGACCTCCCCTGACGGTGAAGGGGCGTGCCCCGGACAGGCCCGGCTCCCTGTCCCTGTCAGCCATCATCCTGTGCCACACGGGGACGGAGAGCTCGGCCTTGGGATCCAGACAGCCGGCTGGGGGCGGAATGCCGGCTCGGCCACTCCCGACCGTGCCCTCCCCCGGGTCAATGAGTGACTGTGTGCCTCGGTCGCTCCCCCGAGGGGCCGTGAGAACAACTCGTCTCACAGGGCCGCCGCGATGGGTCCGGGTGTTGACACGCACTCGGGGAGGTGGTGTGGGCGCTGATCGCTGCTACTACGAATGCCATTAAGGCACTCGGTTCCGCACAGCAGCAGGGGCGTGGCGAGGGCTGCGCCAGCCAGGACAGCCCCTCCCGGGACACGGGTCCCCGCTAGGCCTTGCAGGGAGGGCAGTGGCGGGAAGGGGGGAGCAGAGAGGGGCCCTGAGGCTCCGACGCGGGCACCGTGACTCGCAGGTGCAGGGAGTGGCCACCTCCGGCGTGGGGTTTTGCCGGGCCGCTCGCGCACGGCGGCAGCAGAGCCGGGCCTTTTCGGTGCCCCTGTCCCTCCTCCCACGCCGGCCGATTCCCGCGGGCACAGCAGCCAGGCCCCCGGGGTTTTCTGGGGTGAGTCGAGTCCCAGCGGGGGGAAAGTTCTACGTGTGTTCCTCTAGCACCATCTGCCTCCTCGTCTAATTTTAGCTTTCCCGGGCCTGGGAGGGAGGCCTGGGGGTGGAGGGCTGGCTCCGACGGGGCTGGGGGTGGAGGCGGCCCCTCCCGGCCCAGCTGGGGCAACAGGGCAGAACCCCGACGGGCAGAGGACTCGGCCGAGGGCATCAGCGCCAAGGCCCCAGGGCACGGCTGGACGACGTCCCCTCCACCTTTGGGGCTGGACCTGGGTCCACCGCCAGCGCCCTCCAGACTGGGGGTGCAGGGCGGGCGGGGGCCACAGCCCAGGGTGAGGGGCGCTTCTCTCTGCCTCTGTCACCCTGCCCTTGTCCCTGCCTGGGCCAGCCCGCCGTGGGGACGGTAACTGAGCAATCGGCGACGGTGGGTGGGCAGGCGGGCTGGCTTGGGGCACTCATTGTGCGTGAGCAGGATCCCGGGGCCGGCGTAGGGCCGAGCCGGGTAATTAGTTGTTTTTAAATAAACGTCAGCGGGCACGCTTTAATTAAGCCTCCCTCCCAGCGAGCCGCGGAGCTGTAATCACAGCGAGAGGCGCACACAGGGAAGAGCTCGCCAGGAAGGCCTGTCCTGGTCCCGGGGGCCACAGCGGGATGGTCCCCGGTGCCCTGGCCCGGCTGACGCGTTGGGGGCGAGGGCCCGGCCCAAGGACACTGCGGTGGCGGTGACGGTGACGTTAGGGGCGGCACAGAGTCTCCCTCCGGCCTGGTCCGGCCTCCATCTGGGGCACTTGACCAGGTGGCCGTCAGGGGACGTCCACGTTTTAGCCCCCCTCCCCCGGCCCCCGAAGCACCTACCTTGGGTGGCCGAGGTGACCAGCACGGCGGTGACGCACAGACTCCAGAGCACTGCGGCCAGGCGGGCCATGGCGGCGGCCAGGGGTGCGTCCAGGACTCTCAGCGGCCTGTGGGGGGGCCCTCGCCCCGCAACACCGGGCGGGCACCACGGCCTGGCCCACCAGCCTGGGGGAGACGGGAGAGTGAGCGGGGCGCGGGGCGGCCGCGCCACCCCGCCCTCCTGCCACGGGCCGAGGGCTCCCTCCTGCCGCCGCCCACGGGGTCGGGGGTCGGCATCCAACTGGCGGGGCGCCCCACCCTGCGGGGCCCCCAGCGCACACTGTACCCCTTCACACCGCACCCCTTCCCACACCCCGAAGACAGACCCGCCAGCCGGGCTTCCACCTTTCCCTGTTGGAAACTCCTAGAAGATCCTCTTGTCTTGGGGCAGCTCATCAGGGTGGCCCAGGAAGGCCCTGGACCCTCCCGAAGGAAGCCGCTTGTGATCCTTGACCCCTGACCCCCCCCAGCACCCTCACCGGTGAGCAAGGAGGAGGGCCGGGACCTCCTCCCGGGCGGGGGACCCAGGCGTGTGGCCCCAACTCTCAGCCTCCCCGTCTTGGGCAGGAATCCAAGCCCGGCCCCAGCCCCTGCTTCCTGCCGCGCCGCGTTCTGGCAGCTAATTAGAATCCAGCTGGCTGGCGCCACAGATGGGGAACCAGGGACGCCTGAGTCCCCCTCTTCCCCTCCGGGGGACCCTCGGGGGGAGCTGGAGACAGGCAGGCGGTGCAGGAGGGGGCGCCTGCTCCCTGGGGGGGCAGGGGAGAGGAGGAGGAGGAGGAGGGCGGGCGCCGTGTGCCCTCCTCCCGCCCCGCCTGCCCTGCCCTGGCCAGGCGGCTCCGCAGGCACCGAGCTCGGTTCTGACCCGCCGCTCCTGCTCACCTCTCTGGCTGCCTCGGTCTCCCCGGGTCCCCTCAAGGCCGCGCACCCGGCGAGATGCCGCCCTCGGCTCCTTCCTTTAACTACGCCCTGGGCCCGTCCAGCGGGGGCCCCGGCCCCGCCAGGAACTTGCTAGAAACACACACTCACTGCGTAGGACCCTCCGTCCTCTCCGGCCGTCACCCCAGCCTGTCCCATCCCGGGCTGCCCTAGCGTGTCCACACCAGCGCCGAGCCGATGCTCTCCAGACCTCTTACTTCCAGTCTGGAGTCTCTCCACAGAGCCCCAACCACGGTTTCACCCCCAAAACCAAAGCCCTTGCGAAGTGAGGGCCTGGGGAGCTCCCCGACCCCGTTTCTGCGCCAGCCACTCCCGCCATTCCTGGGCCGCAGCAGGCCCTGCCCCAGGGCCTTTGCACGTGCTGCTTCCTCTGCCTGTAGCTTCTGCCGCTGGTTATCCACAGGGCTGGCTCTCCGGGGGCCTGTTTTGTCCACCCCTAATTATTTATCTGCTGTATGGACGGGGCAGCGATCAGTGAATTGTTTTATTCGTGGCCATACCTCCAACTTTTGGAACAGGTCAGGCACATGGCAATGAATTACTCGTTAAATGGATGGATGAATGAATGAATGAATCTCAGACTCTAAACCGAGGCATCTGCCCCGATTCCTCACCGTCCCTGCTGTCCCCATCGAGGGCTCCATCAGCAGGTCCTACGGGCTCTGCCCGCCTCTGGCCCACAGCACCACGACCTGGGACCAGGCCACCGTCCCACGACACCGGCCTCCTCCTTCCTGGCCTCCCCGCCTGCCTCCCGACGAGCCCTGCGCTCAGAGCTAAGGGACGGCGACCTGAGCATTCACCTTCCCCTCGGCTCTGGGCTGGGGTCTCGGTCCCCCACCACGGCCTCGAGGACGCGGGCGATCTCGGGCCACCAAACCCCTCCCTCCTGTTCATGGAACATTCCAGCTCCAACCCCCTCCTGGCCGCGGAGCCTTTGCCGGGGCTGTTCCCTCTGCCTGGAATGTTCTCCCAGGGTCCCCGCAGGTCACCTGCGGCCTCTCATCATTCAGGGCTCAAGCGAAAGGTCACCCCAGCAGATGACCCGGCCCTGCCCCCCCAATCAAAACAGCCCCCACCCCCTGTCCCCACCTGCCATCCTTTTCCCTGTTTTTATTTGGTTTTGTTTGTGTGTTTGTTTTTGAGACAGGGTCTCGCTCTGTCGCCCTGGCTGGAGTGCCGTGGCGTCAGCCTCGCTCACGGCAACCTCAGACTCCTGGGCTCAAGCCATCCTCCTGCCTCAGCCTCCCGAGTAGCTCGGACTACAGGTGCGCACCACGATGCCCAGCTAATTTATTTACTTATTTCTTTTGGTAGAGATGGGGTCTTGCTATATTGCCCAGGCTGGTCTCGAACTCAAACGATCCTCCTGCCTCAGCCTCCCACAGTGCTAGGATTCCAGGTGTGAGCCACCGCGCCTGACCCTTTCCCCTGTTTTTAATTCACAGCTCTCAACTGCACCTAAAATTACCTTTTTATATTGGCAGGTCTGTTGCCGGCCTTTCTCGCTAGAACGCAAAGCCCTTGAGGCAGGCGGGGACTCGGAACAAAATCTTCGATAAATAGAGACCAGAGCGGCCCCTCCACGCCTCGGCCTCTGCACACGGGAAAGGGAGGGTAATACCCGTCGTCGGCGGCCCTGGACACCCCTCCCCACCCCTGCAGCAGCTCTCTGCCCCCCTCCCCGCAGCCCAGGAACCCCCTCCCCGCCTGACAGCCCCGAGCAGACACCACCCGAGCAGACACCACCCGAGCCGACACCACCGGTGGCACCTTGGATCGTCACTCCTCAGCACTTCACACTGGGGCAGGGGGCGCCTTCCTCACCTGAACTTCCCTATTCCTCCCCTACCTCCCAGCCAGGGCCGGTGGGGGGGGGCACTGACCCGGTGGCTGGCTCCCGGCCATCAGAGCGCCCTCTGTCCCGTGCACCAGGCATGGGAGCGGGAGGAAGTTCACCTGGTTAGGGGATTTTTTTTTTTTTTTTTGAGACAGAGTCTCACTTGTTGCCCAGGCTAGAGTGAGTGCCGTGGCGTCAGCCTAGCTCACAGCAACCTCAAACTCCTGGCTCAAGCAATCCTCCTGCCTCAGCCTCCCGAGTAGCTGGGACTACAGGCACGCGCCCACCATGCCGGCTAATTTATATATATACTATTAGTGCGGACGATTAATTTCTTTCTATTTTTTATAGAGAGAACGGGGTCTCGCTCAGGCTGGTTTTGAACTCCTGACCTTGAGCCAATCCACCCGCCCTCGGCCTCCCAGAGTGCCTAGGATACAAGGTGGCCACCACGCCCGGCCTGGTTAGGGGATGTTTAGATGGCGGGAGGCCGCCAGAAACCAGGGGCAGGAGGCAGCCACCCCACGCGGGTCTAGACCCCGCCTCCGCCTTGCACCTGCCGTGCTGGTCCCTTTGGCTCCGGACGTGCAGGGGCTGGTGAGGACAGCAGTCTACGTGCACCTGGGGCCAGCTCGGGACCCCTCACTGCCCACAGCACGGCACCGGTCACGGCGACCATCGCAAACAAAGGGTGTCCCCTCTGCCCCTCCCAGGCCGGGACGCTGGGACCCCAGGTGGAGTCCCCGAGCCTGCCCGCCATGCGGCATCATCTGGTGCCTTTGGCACACCACCTAGGCTGTGATGACAGCCACACCTGCTCTGCAGCCCGGCCGCTCCCTCACCACCGACACCTCCGTCCCGGGTCCCCAAGGCACCCCCCGTCAGTCCGGACCACAATAGAGACCCCCCCCCATCAGCCAGTGGTGCCACCACCCTCTCCTGGCCAAAACCCCAGGAGTCGAAACCCTCGACGTCTTCTCTTACCCCTAAACCCAGCCCCGGAGCAAGTCCGGGGGCCGCGCACACCTGCAGACACCCCCTCCGTCACCTGCCCCTCCAGCCCCGGGCCCGGCCACTTCCCAACTGCCCTCCAGCCCTTCCGCCCCAGAGTCCTGGGGCCTCCTGACACTCAGAGGGGCCTTTTAAGAAAAAACGACGATGCACTTTTAAGCCATTTCTAAGTGTCCGATCCCGTGGCATTAACTGCACGGCCATGTGGGCCGTTCAGCGTGCCGCGGTTCGGTGGCATTGCTGCCGCTGTCAGTGGTGCTCGGCTGCCGCAGGTTGATGCGGAACGTTGCCTTGGAAACTATTTCCAAAACTTATTTTTCCCCACCCCACACAGAAACCCTGGACGCGTTAAGCAATAGCTCCCCTTCCCCCAGCGCCCGGTAACCTCGGCTACTCCTCCATCTCTGTGAACTTCCCTGTTCTAGATAAGTCACATAAACAGAATCGTACGCCATGTGGCCCTTTGTGTCTGGACTCTTTTCATAAAGAGCCCTCACATTTTTGAGGTTCGTGCACATCCTAGCAGGGATCGGCGCCTGATCCCTTTTTTATGGCTGTGTAGTATTCCGTCGTTCGGTCGGACCACGCCTGGCTTATCCATTCACCAGCTGACTGACACTTAGATTGTTTTCTCAGGGGGGGCCTTTTAAAATTTTCTCCCTGTGTTTGCTGAGGTGCGATTGGTAAATAAAAACTGCATATATATATATTTAAGGGGTACGACGTGTTTTGACGTCTGCACAGACTGCAGAAGGATTTCCACAATCAAGCTAACCGACGACACAGACGTCACCTCCTCCTAGTTACCGTTTTGTTGTTGTCGTTGATGGTGGGGAGAACACTGGAGTCCACCCTCCCAGCACGTTTCAAGCACACACCGCGTTATTATCAGCTGTGGCCACCGAGCTGTGCAGCGGGTCTCCAGAACTCACTCGGCTTATAGCTGAAAGCTTGTGATCCCCACCCTAAGCCTGAAGCCACTATTCTACTCTCTGCTTCTAATGAGTTTGGCTTTCTCTTTTTCTTTTGAGACAGAGTCTCGCTCTGCTGCCCAGGCTGGAGTGCCGTGGCGTCACCACAGCCCCCTGTAACCTCCAACTCCTGGGCTCAAGCGATCCTCCTGCCTCAGCCTCCCGAGTAGCTGGGACTACAGGCACTCGCCAGGACGCCTGGCTAACTTTTCTATTTTTAGTAGAGACGGGGTCTCACTCTTGCTCAGGCTGGTCTCGGCCTCCTGAGCTCACTCGATCCTCCCGCCTCGGCCTCCCAGAGTGCTGGGATCACAGGCGTGAGCCGCCGTGCCCGGCCATATCGAGGGATGCTTGTCTTTCTGTGT